TGGTAGTCTTGAAAATGTCATATGGGAAGCCAATGACAAAGATTACTTTTAAATTACAGTGACAAATCAAGAACCAAAAAATTAACAGATTTTGTAAAAGCTATTCTGTAAAGGCACAAGTATAATGCCCAGTTTCAGATATGAAGAACACACTCACACTATTCAATACTGCTACTACTTAAATTAAAATGGCTAACACTTATACCAGGATAACTATGGGACCAGCACTGTTGATTTCACATTAATTAACTCATTCAAATTTCAAAGCAACTCTATGAGAAAAGTACTATTATTATCTCCACTTGAGAGATGAGGAAACTGAGGCCAAAAAGGGTAAGTGAGTTGCTCAATTTAACCTCATTCTGATAGTAAACTATTATTCCATTTCAACTACCAATTCCAAAATCACTGAATTATTTTTCCACTCCCGAAAAATTTAAACTTGAGAAATTAACTTGGCTGACATCGACTATACAATTGTAAAACAATACATTTATTTTAGTATTCTCCTCTTGTGTTAAATAATTGGAATATATGGGTGGCAGATACCAAGAGCACAGTGCCATCTGACTTGCGTATGTAGAATAAACAGAAATGTGTAAGCTTTAAAAAAATGTGTGTTGATGCATTCCCTATTATTGCAAAAATTAGGCATCCTCAAATGAAACAGAGAAAAGATCAGTAAGTAGTATGCCAGAGTAACCATTAACCATTTAGTAACACTTCTTGAATCTTCGATGACCGACTTGGATAGTAAAAAATAAAATTATTTTTAATGGTTTCAGACATCGTTTTACATGAGCCCAAATTATTTTCCAAGACGTATTTCATCCTAAATGCTGTTTTAAATGACATGCTAAAACTGTCTAAAAGTTGCAAGTCCAACTTCCATCCCACAAAAACTGTTCCTCTGCCTACATGTGCAATTCTTCCTACGGGACCCACTTCATTTTACATTTGCAAACTTTACACAGCTCTGCGGCGCTGCAGACCCGGGTTTCCTTCTCAGCTTCCCCCAGCCAGCGCTCACTTCGCGTTCGGCCCACACCCACCACACCCCTCCGGTCCCCACCCAACGCCACTCCTCCTCCCAGGCTTCTCCATCACCAACTTAGCACCTATGAGCGCCGCCCCCCGGCCCCTGGCCCAGCCCATCCTCGGACACGTGTGAGGGTGTGTTTGTGTCAGTCTGTCCGTCCCACCCGGGACGGGGCTCGCTTACCGAGAGAGAAGCGCTAACTTCTGCTCCAGCATCATCTCCAGCTTCTGGCCCTGTTTGGAGATCCAGTGGTCCACTCCATGCAGGCGGTAGCACGTCTCTAGCATCAATCTGAAGTCCGCCACGAACTCGGTGATGCCCCCGTACTGGCCGCTGGCGAACTTCTCCTCCATCTTCAGCAGACATATGCCCTGCCCGGGCTGCTGCGGGAGGGCGCGACAGCCCCGGCCCCCACTGCGCCACCCTTCCGTCACCTCCTCCTCCGCGGTGGCAACGCCCCCCAAGGGCTGCAGGAAGGGAGCGGTGAGGCTCCGGTGCTTCTCCTGCATGAACTCGCCCAGGATGCGGTAGCCCTGCTGTAGCTCGTAGGTCAGCTCCTGCTCCTTGCAGCCACCGCCTCGGATCACCATCGCCTCTATCTCTTCCTCCTGATCGTCCACGTCTTCCAGCGAGGAGGCACTCCTCCCGCGGGCCGGCCCTAAGGCCGGGGCCGTCGCTGCCACCTCCTCGTTGTCCTCTCCTTCGGCCGCCCGTGGCGGTCGCTCTTCCTCCCCGGCCGGCTCCATCGTTCCTGGCGTCCCGTGCACGCTCATGCCCCGGCAGGCCTAACTTGAGCGGTGTGGAGCGGCCGCTCGAGGTGCTGGGGGACGCGTGAGCGCGAGCCGCTTCCTCACGGCTGGGCCGCGCAGCGTAGCCCCTGCCGCATCTGGCCTGGCTCTCCTCAGCCGCCGGCTCGGCTAGGTGCGCGCGGGGGTCTCCAGCTCGCCGCCGGCGGGGCGGGGTTACATGGCGCGCGGGGAGGGGGGAGAGGAGAGCCTAGGTGCCCTCCTCTCCCCTCCCCCCGGCGGCGGCGCGCGCGCGGCCCTCGCCGGCCTCACCCCTCCGCACCCCGCCCGCCTGCTCTTCACCCGCCAGGCCCCGCCGGGTCGCCGCGGCCTCGGCGCCCCACCCCCTCCCGGGCCAGCGAGGGGCTGGGAGGGGGCGAGGAGGAAGGAGATTCTCCTCTCTCCTCCCCGGAGGGGGCCGCAGCGGCGGCTCCGGCTCCTCCTCTTCCTCACACCCCCTCCCGCCCCTCTCTACCTGTGGGGACAAGGGCAGGAGGAGGAGGGGCGCGGACGGGGCCCAGCGACAACTGTCAGTTAGAAGACCCGCTGGGTGGTGGGGGGGGGAGAAAGGGGAGGGGCAGGGAGAGAAGAGGGAGGGCACTCAGCCCCCTCGGCTGGTAAGAGCTGTGGAGAAAGGCAAAGAAAGAGGCCCTGTCGCCATTCCCGGTGCGCATGCGTAGGGGAACAATTTCGTTCCCCGCCGCCTCCCGCCCTTTCGCGTCCCGCCCCGCTACGCAAAAGGAAGAGCTGCGGCTCAGCTACAGGCCCTGAGGCCTGCTAGGGTTGCGCGGACGAATGATGTAATCAATCGTAGGCGAATCTGTAAGAGGCGGATGGAAGGGGAAGCAAGGCGCCTGTGCAGCTTTATTCGCCTCCTTATGGGAAGGTGGGAAAGGGCTTTTCTTTAAGCAAGTGCTGCAAGAGGAAACTTCTTTTACAAGACCCTTGTTAGTACCCCAAACTAAAATTAAAGTTGCTAGATAACCTTTGTTCATGGCAAACAGTGAGAAAGCGCAAAATGTAAATCTTGTCTACTATAAAATTTACATTCTATTCGCACCCTTTCTCCTTTGTGACTGCGGGTCTTTTAAGTAGAACCAGAATTTTGAGAAGTTTAGAAAGTAAGTTGAAGGACCTGATCATACATTCACACGCAGAAGAAAAGGAAGTGATTTCTAGAACCCCAGTTCTTAACATCAATTCATATTTTGGAATTAATTCCATGTTTTCAGTTAAACATTTCCACCTTTTCGATTCTTGAGATCTGTTAAGAATAAAGAAAGGTTATGGGACCTCATTTAAACAAATTATTGGGATTGAAAACAGTGAAAATAGTTCAAGTTTGAGCTGTACAGCATTAAACAGTTGTTTGCTGGCCTGACAATCTCACTACACATTTTGCAATTACTGTTTACATAATGACTAAAAAGTGGACTCCATGCACACTGGTTTACATGTTATTTAAAATTAGTTGGGAGGTAGGACTTCCTGGTTCCATAAAACAAATATTACTATTTTCTCATGTTCTATTTGAAAGATGCACATACTATGTTTTCTAGGTACACCGATCCTCATTTGAAACTTGGAATTAAACACAAAAACAAAATTACAGAAATCATGCATTTTAAAAGTAAAATGTATATAACAATGATTTTATATATAAATGTATATAACTAAATGATTGCAATTGTTTACTTCTCATTAATGTGAACTTTAAAGCAGTGATAAAATCTTCTTTAACCTCAAAGCTGTTTTTTGTCCCATCATCACTCTTAAGTAAAATAGATAAGTGACAACGCTTTTCTAGTTGTTAGGGTATTGACACTACACATACCTTTCATCTAGTATTCAAAGTCTCCTATCATCAGATATTTGTAATATATGACGAATTTACATGGTTCTCTTCCCTCAGAGTCCACAGAAGAACCTCAGCTCACCTACTTCAGCACCTGGCAACCAAAAAGTGTGTCTTACTGGACATCTCTCCTTTCTTTTGACAAAGCCCCAGAATCTGAAGCCCACCGTACCCAAGCAAACATCCTTTCCACCTCCTCTTTAGCCATCAGCCCTATTTCATCACTCTTGGACAATATTACCTTCCATTTATTGAACCCTGTGCCACTAAGCATTTTATGTTCACTGTTTCGTTTAATTCTCACAATAATCCTATCGGCAAGCTATTAGCCTGATTTTTCAGATGAGGAAACTGCCTCTTTGTTTAAGAAAGTTGTTAACCAAAATTAAAGTCTAGGTCGGCCATACTTCAAAAACTCCAGGTGCCTAATTCCAAGTCATCTGGCAGAATTTCTAAATCCTCATGCATAAAAGTGTTGGGAACTGCTGGAAATGTTGATAAAGGGTTTCTTAGTTAAGATATATAAAAGGTGTGAGTGAGTAGAGGGAACCTCAACTCTAGGTTATGAAGAGGTCAAAATAATAGCAACTTAACTATAATGAAAGTAGGATCAGGTCTTTGATCTTAAAAAGGAAACTTTATTATATAAGAAATGGGCTGGGTGCACTAGCTCACACCTGTAATCCCAACACTTTGGGAGGTCAAAGTGGGCAGATCACCTGAGGTCACAAGTTTCAGACCAGCCTGGCTAACATGGTGAAACCGCATTTCTACTAACAACACAACAAATTAGCCGGGCATGGTGGCACACACCACCCGGGAGGCTGAGGCAGGACAATTGCTTAGACACCAGAGGCAGAGGTTGCAGTGAGCCGAGATCGTGCCAATGCACTCCGGCTTGGGCAACAAGAGTGAAACTCCCTCTCAAAGCAAAAAACCAAAACCAAAACCAAACAAAACAAAAAATATGTTGGCTGTAGGAGTGTAGGTAAAATAGAAAATATAGGTAAATGAGAAGAAAAATTGCCACTTAATCCTATCACCTGGAGAAAACCTCTATTAATACTTTGAGGTGGTATTTTTCTATTCATTCATCTATACTTTATCTTAAATATTCTTAAAATTGTGATCATACTATACATAATGTCCTTAATTTTCCTTTTTAACCCATTAGTAATAATTATATGGAATGGGAAGAACTGCATATCTAAAATTTCAACTTTATATTCTTGTCTACAATAGCTTAAATGGCCTGTCCATATGAATGAGTAGGAAATTGGGAAAATTCTCTATAAAAGAACACAATAGAGGTACAAGCAACTACAGCAGTAACAGCTACAATTTATTGAGCACTTACTAGGTCTTAAATATTTGCTAAATACATACACAGTACGCACAATAGCCCCAGGAAATAACAGATGTATTTAAGTTTTGGATCAATGATTAATGATTAGCTGAGTAGAAAGCCCTTTTCTACCCTACAATAAGCTTGACATTAAAGATCAACATTCCAATTAATATAATTAACCCTGGATTTATAGAACTGTTTTCTCATAATGCACATCTACTGCTAAATGATTACTCTCAAAAGTTCCTTTCTTTTTCATGTTCAAAGAAAATTACATTCACTTTCCTCTCACTTTTCCAATAGAACATTCTTCAGTGCTACTCTAGAATCTATTAGGAAATTCTTTGAAATAGAAATCAATTTAAGCCCTATAACCAGAGCTTCTCCTCTTGTTGAGCTGCTTTGCAGAGGGAAAATGGCATACATATACAAAATAATACTCTACTGAAACACACAACACTGACTCCCAAGAATATTGATTACATACTATTTGTCAAACACTGTTACATGCTACCAATGTTAGATGTGTTAGGACTCCCTTTTCACTAACTATGGTTCTTGGAGTCCTGGATTACTCAGAAAAAAAAAAAAAAAAAAAAAAAAAAACGGACTATTTTTTTAGCTTCTAGTTTTTTTGTTTTGTTTTGTTTTCTTATTTTTAGTCTATATTTTTAGTCTGGCTAAAGAAATGTAAAAGTTTTCTCTCGGCCGGACACCTTAGGAACTAGAATATGGGTATGTCCCACACAGTTCCCAGGAGTACATTATGAAAAATTTCATATGCATCCCACATCTACTGTAGTATCTCAGAACTCTCCTAGTTCCAGCATCCTCCCATCACTACAAATACCAAGCATATTAATCAAGGAGGGACAAGCCTGCCACTGTATCCTTCACTCACAATTCCAAAGATGCATGTCCTGGAAATTCTGTCTTGTTTTTGTGAGGTCTTAGCATATTGTGATAGCATGACATCTTTATATCAAGCATACTGTTTGGCTAGCATCGATAATAGTTCAAACAAATAGCAACAACTTTATATACTTCACATCAACTAGGGGAAAGGTGACAAACATTGTAAGACAGCATGAAGCATAGGTTATCACCAAGGTCTGTATTTGGGAGATGAAACATGCAAGATAAACAGAGGACTAACATTGACTAATTCTGGAGAAACATGGGGAAAAACCATAAACTGCTTAGCAGGGAGAAAACAGTTCTCTGATTTATAATAAAATCCATTCAAAACACTTATTTGTAGTTACTTTCATGGCAGATCATATTCAAGTTATATTAAAGTGCTTCAGGCAAAATTTAGCAACTCCTGTAAGGCTTCCTGCTGTTCATCATCAAGTTGGGATACACATTCCAACCATAAATCTTCAGAAGTCTGTACCTGACGCACAACATTAGCTAGGCGTTTGGCACAAGGATCTTCATAGTTAATAGTCTCGTTAATTTTTCCTTCCGCAATTATACTGATTATTTTGGGAAGATTGGAATTATTTGGACCAATTACAACTGGGTGGTTACTTTCAATTAGGTCACAGAGAAAACTGAAAGTCTGAATAGCTTCCTCTTTATCTTCATGGAGTGGAAGCCATGATAACCAGTGTGGAAGAACTTCATCTACATTTACACAATTAGGCTTAAATTTCAAAATCTTCCCTATTGCTGAGATACAGTTCTCTGTAGCAATGACATTTTTTTTGGTTTTGGAATTGGCACACTTAATAACTTTTACCAGCAGTGGAACAGCTTCTGAACATAAAGAACGATAATCATCTCCACCAAACTGTGCCATTACACCCAGGCCATAAGCAGCAGCTTGCCTGACTTCAGGGTTGTTATCTCGCATATTTAGTAGCATTGGCCACCGAAAATATTCTACATATTTAAATGAAGTTGGACTGCAGTGCTCTATGATGTCATCAAATATACACAATCCCCACTGTCTGTCTGGCCATGGCCTACTTGAACAAATTAGATTTACAATTAATGGCAATAGTTGTTCAAACCATGGTAAAATCTTTTCCTTATAAGTACTAAATAATGAGTGCAAAATATCTGATACTTTGGTCAGAATATAAACATCACATTCATCCTCATCTTGCAGAGACATCTCAACCTGTTGATCATAGTTTTCTTCCTGTCTTTTAACCTGTCTCAATTCTTGGTTTTTAAAGTGCCCTTCAAGTTTTGCTTTCAGTATTCCTCCCAGTTCTTCCAGGTGTTCATCATTAAGGCAGCCATCTCCCATAACTTCAATGCACTTTGCAAAAGAATTCATTATTTCTGAGAGCACATCTGTATCCGGTTCAGTACCAATAGCCTTAATTAAGGGGTCACATATGAATTGCCACATCTGTGCAAGATACTCTGGGCCACGAATTCTTGCACATTCCAGGAGAAAAGGCATGGACTCTGCTGCTGCCACTCGAACATTGTCATGGAAATAAAATTTCAGTAAAGGAACCATCAGCTTCACAACTTGTTCTGTATATTCCACAAACCCTTCCCTTAACTCCTTTGCATAGTAAACCAACATCTGGCAAGCAGTTGCTTTTGCTTCAAGTCCTGAAGTTTTAATTCCAAAACTCTGCTGGTCTCCAAGATTTACAAATTGCCAGCCATCATCATCACTCATATTCTCCACATCCTGTGTGTCTAAGAGAGCAACATCAGGTTTAGCTGAAGCAGTCTTAATAAGAGGCTCAATAACCAGTGGAAGGTACTGTTGAAAATCTTTCCCAAGAATTTTACACATTCTAGCCCATGCTGAAACCATGTAAGAGGTCTGAGGATCATCATCTTCCATATTATTTAAGTCTGTTTGTGTCTTCAACAACAGCTGCATCACATTTGATGCATCTTGCATAAATTTTTCCTTCCCAACAGCAAGACCAATATGGCTAATGCACTCAATAGTTTTTCCTCTCAGAAGCTTGAGGTCCTTCTGAACAGCAAGCTCAACGATGTGCTTTAGTGAGGGCATGAATATATCATAATATGGGACAAATTTTTCTTCTATTGTATCTGCAACTGATGCAATGGTTGTTATAAGTTGTTCCAAGGCCAACTTAGTTCCATTCCGAATCAACTCTTGAAGTTTAATCACCAAGATGGAATGTAGATTTTTCACCATACTATCCAAATACAGAACTAGCAATGATTTGGGGCAGTCTTCAATAAAAATAATAAGAGCAGAAGCTGCATGTGATTGCACACGCTGATTACCTTGATTTTCCATGGTACGTAACAGAGCTGCAATCACTGTTTCATGAAATTTCTTTTGGAAATTAGGTGCAAAATCTGTAGCCATCTGTCCAAGTGTAGTACAGGCTGCAGCCCTCACCCTTGGATGAGGATCCTGAAGAAAAAGCAAAACGGAGTTAACTGTTTCATCTAGTATTGATTCCATTTGTTGATGGCATCCTTCTCCAATGGCAGATAAGGCCATTAATCCGGCATGTCGGTATTTCCAGTCAGGGCTCTGAAGCATCTGCATGATATGCTCCTTGGTCATTGGTAAAACAACTTTTCCACCAAGCCCACAAGCCAGTCTGTCTAGTGCACTCTCAGCAGCAACTGCATTGCTGTCAAAATCATCTTCTTCCATTTCATCAGCATTTACCCAGTCCTCATCATCTTGTAGATCAACCATCATTGCTAATATATGAGGAACTGCCTGTGCAATAATATTTGTATGTTTTTTCAACATTGGAGTGGCAGTTTCAGACAAGGTCACTATAACTTCTAGGGCCAGCTGGCGCTGCAGATTACTAAGCCTAGAGTCTCCACATAACTTCAAACTCAACTGTAGAGTATCTTCTAAATAAGGACCCAAGTACTTAGGTACTGTATCTGCAATCTCAACAAGCGATTCTAGCACTGAATCATCATCCTGGTAGCATGAGTCATTCACAGCCTGTAAGATTCCAGGAAGCAAGTCTGCAAACTCTTTGAAAAGAGCAATATTATTCTCATTAGCAAGTACAAATGCAGCTGCAGCTCTAGCGGATAATGTCCTGATTGCTGGATGTTCTTGATCTTGAATACATTGGTCCAACAACCGTTTGATGATATCCAAATCATGCCGCTCTTGGGTCCCAAAAATCCCAGGAAAGTGCCAGAAAACGTGAAGTGCAACTTCCCATAGAACCACATTTTTAGAGTAGATTGAATCAATAAGAAACTTCAGACCCTCCGGCCAGTGGTTAGTGCCATCCTCATCTATCAAATTCCTGGCCAGCACTGCAAAAATATCACAAAGTTTTTTCCTCATGCTAGCATGTGTTTCTAACTTAACAGCCAGAATCAGTTCAATCTTGACATCCCTCTGAACATCAGCAGGCAGATTTGGATAAACCTCCTCAAACCCAGAGGACAAAAGCCGTCGGAGCAGTGCGGCAGCCATTTGTCTCACCTCATAACCTGCTCTTCTATTTCTGACGGCATCTAAGAGGAAGGTAGTCTTACACAGACCTGGGATATTTTCATAGATTTCCTCTGCTTGCCTCCGCACCATACAGCTTGGATTGATCAAGTTCTTCAGAAGCTGGTAAAACTCTTGCTTTTCCGACACGATCGCCGGAACCCCTGCAGACGCGGTCGCCGCCATCGTGCTCTGTCAAAGCTACTGCGACCGGGAAGGAGGGAGGGGGTCTGCGTCTCAAAGCAGTGACGTAGGCAAGGCGCCGGCGGAGATGGGCGGGGGTGTTTCTCCCTCCTCTGCCCGAAAGCCCTCGCTGTGCTCCGGCGGGCGGCAAGCCAGGTTTTGGAGAGCCGTGAGAGCCTTGTGGAGGCCAAGGGCATCCTCCATTTGTTTTTCAATAAAATAAACGTGCACTTACAGGAGAAGAAAATCATTGATTAGAATGGAATTATGTCTGAAAAAAAATTTTTTTTTATACATTGTCTCTGTCACCCAGACTGGAGTGGAGCGGCGCGATCCCTGCTCACCGCAACCTTGACCTCCTGGGCTCCAGCGATCCTCCCCGCCTCAGTCCTCGAGTATCTGGGAATCACAGGCGCGCGCCACCACGCCCGGCTGATTGTTGTATTTTTTGTAAAAGCAGGGTTTCGCCATGTTGCCCAGGCTGGTCTCGAACACCTGGGCTCAAATTATCCACCCGCCTCAGCCTCCCAAAGTACTGGGATTGTAGGTGTGAGCCACCGCTTCCAGCTAGATTTGAGTGATTTCTTTTCATTTTATTTCTAAACTATATTGTTACCTTGATAATTTTAAAACAGTAAGTCTATCTTGGAAATATGCTAAGTGAAAGAAACCAGACCACATTATGTATGATTCCATTTATATGAAAGGTACCAAACAGGCAAATCTGTATAACAGAAATTAGTTGTTGGCAGAGGTTGCTGGGAGGAGAGGATGGAGAATGACTACTAGGGTGTTTCTTTCTTAGTGATGAAATGTTCTAAAATTAATTGTGGTGATGGTTGCAAAATTCCATGATTATACTAAAAACCATTGAGTTGTACAATTTAAATTGGTGAATTGTATGGCATATACTTCAGTAAAGCTGTTTATAAAATAGTAAGTGTGATAAAAAGTAATAAGTACTTTTCCACCATCACATCTAATGCAGTAGAGTGGTAGCTCAAAATCTGGTGTGTATCAGAATCATCTGGCCTGTGGGTTATACTAAAGAATGGAAAAAACAACTGAGTAAAGTATGGTAGAAAGTGATCTGAACTACTAATCAGAAGACAGACTAACATCCTGGCCTTATTGCTAAATTAATTTTGCATCCTAGGACAAGTTACTCAAGATTTTCCTTGTATCTTGTCTAAACTGAAATACGAAGGGATGCGGTTACTAGAATCCTAACTACCCATTAGTGGGAAGCTGCTGAGGTTATTCCAAGAAACAAATGTTGATGAAACTAAATTCAGGCCGTTGTGTCAATCAAAAACAAATTTCATTCCTATAACAATGATTAGGTCTTACTTTTGTATTAGCACTTTGCCACACCCTCATTATGACCCTTATACAGATTTGAGAGGTTGCTAGCCTAGGTATAATACTAAAGTTAGGTAAGAAGTGGAAACTAAGGGAAGTTACAGAATTTGCCTAATAAGACACACATGAGTCTCAATTCTACCTCTTCTGAAAGTGACACCGATGCTCTTTTCACCATACTGTTTCCCCATTAACTATTCTTGGTTTTGCAGTACGATAAGAGGCTTTCACTTATTGCAAAATCTGTCTTAAACTTTTCCAAGCAGTCTTAATTTTAATTTTTTAAAATGCTGCTTCATATATCCAGAAAAATTAGAAAATCGTAGCTGTTACATTAACCAGATAATAGACAAAGTAGGTAGTCTCATAAATTACATTGTAATATGAAACAGAGCTATTCTCTAAAACAGCATTTTTCATTCTGTAGACTGAAAACCAACTGCATTAGAATTGCTTGGGATTCTTATTTTAAAATATGGATGTTAGGGCCCAAGCTCCTATTAACCCAGAATTTGGGGGGGACCGAAGCCTAAGAATGTACAATTTTAACCAGCACATTGGGTTTTTATATAAATACCAACATTTCAGAATCCCTGATTAGATCAATTCTGGTTCTGATTCCAAGATTGTGACTTCAGTTGTGCATCATTGGTTTTCTTTCTTTCTTTCTTTTTTTTAAAGTCTTGCTAAAAACAAACAAAAAAAGAGTCTTGCTGTCACCTAGGCTAGAGTACAGTGACATGATCTTGGCTCACTGCAACCTCTGCCTCCTGGGTTCAAGCGATTATCCTGCCCCAGCCTGTGGAGTAGCTGGGATTACAGGCGTGCACTACCACGCCCAGCTAATTTTTATATTTTTAGTAGACAGGGTTTCACTATGTTGGCCTGGCTGAAAACTTGTGACCTCAAGTGATCTACCTGTCAGCCTCCCAAAGTGCTAGGATACTACAGGCATGAGCCACCGCACCCAGCCTATTCATTGCTTTTCTTACTGTTCCTTGAAAAAGTCTAACTGGAGGGCCTTTGCATTTGCCATTTCAGAAAATGCTAATAAGTGTGTGGAAAAAAGACTTTTCTTAACACTATGTCCATTAGCATATGAAAGACATTAAAAATGGCAGTGATACACCACCACAGACTTAACACAATGCTTTAAGTTTAGACGTCTGCCAAAGCCACGGGTTGCTTTGCATGCAGAACAACAGGAAACTCAGTTATATTTTTGTTGAGAGTATAGGTAAATTGGTACAACCTCTTTGAAAAAAAGTTTGGGCCAGGTGCAGTGGCTCATGCCTGTGATCCCAGCACTTTGGAAAGCCAAGGCAGGCAGATCACCTAAGGTCAAGAGTTCGAGACCAGCCTGGCCAACATGGTGAAACCTTGTTTCTACTAAAATTACAAAAAAATTAGCTGGGGGTGGTGGGGTGGGTCTGTAGTCCCAGCTATTTGCGGAGGCTGAGACAGGAGAATTGTTTGAACCCAGGAGGCGGAGGTTGTAGTGAGCCAAGATTGCACCACTGCACTGTAGCCTGGGTGACAGAGGGAGACTCCTTCTCAAAAAAAAAAAAAAGAGAAAGAAAGAAAAGAAAAGAATGTTTGAAAATTTCTTGGTTAAGATTTTGCAATTATTTAATTATTCTCTCAGCAAGTATTCATTAAGAGTATACTCAAGCATAGTGCTGAGTGCTGGCATTAAAGATTAAATTTGTGAAGATATGTGAATCTCATAGTAAACAGAAATAGTAAATGTCACATAGTGTAGTAATCACTGTTGTAATGATAAGCCGTGGAGCCATATGGAGTTATGGAGGCAGCCAGTTTACTCTTACTCTGGGTATGAGGTTGCAGAGCTGACTTTTGAAGGATGAGTCCTCATTAACCATTTGAAGAGAGAAAGTTGTTCTAAGTAAAGGGTGCAGCTTTTTCAAACACAGATAGACCTTCAGGTGTACTGTGATGAGAGTTCTGCCAGTGTTTCAGTAATGCTGGAGCAGTGAGCATGGGATTCGAGGGGGCCAGGGGAAGATACAGGAAGCTGGAAGGAGGAAGACAGAAAGTTAAATAATGGCCAGATCATGAAGGGTGTCATATTCCATATGAAGAAACTGGAATTTTTTTCCAAGGATAAGGAACTGATTTTAATCAAGGGCTATGAAATGATCTAGTTTTAGAAATACAACTTTCACAGAATGTAAAAATAAAAACTCAAGTGTGAAGACTGGAGGCATTTATGAGGACAATTACCTACTTCAGTTAAGATGGAAACCTAAACCATAGCAGTGATGGATGGAAAGAAAAGAGGGCATGGATTGGCAAGGTTTTAAGGAGTAGAATTGATAGCACTCAAGGGACCTAGGAAATCTCGCCAAGTTCTGGCCTAGGTATCTGGTTGGAGGTGCTGCTATTTACCTATTTATGTACCTGTACATACCTATATATAAGTAAAGAACAATGTTAATGCAGATCAAAAGACGACTAACTCTTATGGAGGGAAGAGACTTTGGTGAGTCCCAGGGTCCATGTTTTGTTCTCTAGTTGCTCCCAAGTGCTATAGTGATGGTCATCATCTCCACAGTAGGAGTTAAACTGCATGCAGTTTAGGAAAATTACTTACAGTCTTGTACTTCAGAAACACATAAACGGATTCAAAATCTTAAGATCCTTCCTTTTTTGATTGCATAATTCTTTTTGTGTTATTTTCCCCTCCTCTGCAGAACACATATAATAACCAAGATTCAAGACCAGGCTTGCAGACTGTGTTAGAGTTGAACAACTGTATTAAAGTTTGTAATTAAAATTGGGTTTGTTTGCACTGGTGAGAGACCATCTCAAGAATGTTCCCACAAGGTGGCTCAATGCCAAACAATTTGGGTGTTTATTAGCAGCTCACCAGGTGGACAAAGTTCAATATAAGTTGCAAATATCTTCCAGGATCTGAGAGATTTAGAGTCAAATGAGAGGGATAGTATTACAATGGACATAGTTGACATTTTCAAAAAAATAATTCAGAACCAAAAAAACAAAAACAAAAACAAAACCAGAAAACAAAAAATACCATGAAAGCTCCCACGGACCAATCTGAATATAAAAAAGAATAATGCCTGCAATGATTAAAAAATATCAAATATATAAACAAAAGTGATGAGTTTCTAATGTGAAAAAAGGCCACTAACTCATTGATCATCTCTGGAGACTGCTAGGTCACTGACTCTGATTTTTTTTTTTTTCCCACATTTTAGAGATGTGGTCTTACTCTGTCACCCAAGCTGGAGTGCAGTGGCATGGTTCACACTGCAGCCTTGACATCCTGGGCTCAAGGGATCCTACCGCCTCAGCCTCCCCAGTAGCTGGAACTTCAGGCACATGCCACTACATCCAGCTAATTTATTTTTATTTTTTTATTTTTAGTAGAGATGAGGGCTCACTATGTTGACCACACTGTCTCAAACTCCTGGGCTCAAGCCATTCTCCCACCTCAACCTCCCAAGGTGCTAGGATTACAGGTGTGAGCCACTGTACCTGATCAAACTCTGAAACTTGAAAAAGAGAAATAATCAAGATTTTTCCTGCCTTTCCTGTACAAACTGTATTTCAAAATGACCAAACAGTTGATGAGGAAATGTTCTTCTTTATAGAATTCCAGTTAATAAATGCATAGAGGATATTAAAATCAGGATATTGCTGTGTTGTAGCCACTAATGAAATA